GAGAGGGAGGCTGGAGCGCTGGCGAGGGCGGCGCTGGCGACCTCGACGTGAGCGGCCTCGTCTTCGCATGAGGGCCGCGAGTGCTGCCGGCGGCGAGGGGCGTGGGCGGCCCGGAGCGCGACGTGGGCGGCGCACGGGCAGGCGGCGAGGTGGTTTTATAGGGAGCCTGCAGCAGCTCGTGCCTTGGGGCGACGGCGAGTGGCGGGCGAGGCCGGGGGCCGCCTGTGGTGCTGGTGGGTTTTCAGCGGGACTCGCCGGGTTGGACCCTGGAGCCCAGGCCAGCTGGGCACGTCGATGAGGAAGCAGGCTCTTGGGAGGAGCTCCAAAAGATGCCCGAGTAGTAGGGTGGAGGCCAGTCCACAAAAAAACCTTCCACGAGGAACCCAACCTTGAGACCCCAGGACCTCCATGGATTTTTGGTGTGGGAGCGTCCGTCAGGCTTTCCGTTGCAAGACCATGGAAGCCCAAGAAACCCAGGGCACCCGGGAGGCAAGCAGGGTGTCTCTTGGCATGGGTCTCCCCTGTATGATGCACGACCGTGCGCGCTTTATGGGGGCGAGTGTGGGCGCGCCCCCCCCCCCCCCCCCCCAGGCCCGCCCGGCCCCGCGCCCGAGGTGGGTGGGGAGGGGAGGGGAAAACGGAGCCTGTCTCTCTCTCTCTCTCTCTCTCTCTCTTTTTCCGCTCTCGCGCGTGCGCCTCTCCTCTGTCTCTCTCCGTTCTCTGTCCTGGCACTCCCTCGGGTCCTGGGAGGGGCTCCGAAGGGAGGAGGACAGCAAGGCTCACTGCTGTGCCAGCCTCTCTGCTGCTGGCGTTGCGTAGCTTGCCGGGTGGTTGGCCATGCTGGCGGAGCGTGACGCCTTAGCCGACTCCGTCCTCGTGGCCGCGGAGGTCGTGGGAGAGGGGGGGGGACATCGGACCCCGTCGCGGGCAGCCACCGCGCGCCGAAGGCGCTCCGACCACCGTCGCGGCGCGACGACGAGAAGAGGTTGACCTCCGTCGGGGGGTACCCCAACAAGCTTATCAAGAAACCCAGAGTAGGACATTTTCTGTTGGTTTTTGTTTTGACGCGCTCTGTACAAAGGCATATGCAATGGTCAGAGTCGACGGTGTTAGCTTGTAGGCCCCACTGACCAAGCATCCTGGTGACGACTCCAGCGATGGCGGGAGACGTGAGTGACCGGTTGTCAGGGTCGTCGGGGTCACCGCCCTGCCCAAGCGGACCGCTCCCAAAAAGTCGTCGGTCTGTCCTGGGCCGTCTGGGCCTGGGGGGGGAGTGAAGTCTCGGGCAGGGATCCTCCCCTGCCGTGGCCCTCGAGGCCACCGAGGGGAATGCGGCTGAGATGCGGGCCCGCCTCGCTGCCCCGTTTCGCCACGCCCCACTCGTGAGCGTGGCGATTCCTCCGGGGCTCCTGCGGAGCCCCGAGAGGCCGAGAGGGGCCGAGGTGGCCCGAGCCCTGGGCGGTCGGGCTCCGTGGCCCGCCCGGGCCTGCTCCGCTGCCCGAGGCCGCCGGGGTGGGGCGTCGAGGCGGGCGCCGAGGCGGGCGTCGACGCAGGGGCCGACGCGGCGCTGCGGGGCCCCCGCTCGGGCCTCCACACGCTCGGGCCGTCGACGGAGCCGGGGGGGAGGGGGTGCGGGCGTCGAGGCGGACCTCGCCGGCGCGGGGAGGCCGCGAGCGCCGCTCCTCCGGCGGCGCCCGGGGGGCGGCAGGGGGGATCTGCCTCGGGTCCTGCCTGCCGCTCCTCCGCAGGCGCCCAGGGGGGGTGGGGGGAAGGGGGAGGGGCGGGCGTCGGTGGCGGGCGCTCGCCCCCTGGAGTTCTGGCTCGGAGCTGGCCCCGCGCGCGGCGGGCACAGTCGGACTCGATTGGACAGGACACGCGAGAGGACACACGACCCTTCCGAGGGCCACATTGCCACAGGAATGCAGGAGGCATGGGCCGCGAGACACAGGACACAAGGGTACCCTTGACTGGACAGGGTCGACCTACGAATCCGGGCCGACTGTAGCAGGCGGGGCCGAGGGCGGCCTGCGGTGCGGGTGCGTGCGGGCGGCGTCAGAGGATATTTGGCTGCGTAGTGAGTACCGTGCGCGCGTCATGGACCCGGCTTAGATGTATCAGCTGCACGCCCACGCCCGTGTTGTGCGAGTTGGTGGGACGCAGGACCTCCGCGGGTCCTGGAAGTGGGCTTTGGAGCGAGAAGGGCGTCTGGGCTCGCTGGTGGACCAGTCGCTCTGTTAGTGCTGCGTAGTGTACCGGGCCGTTCGGCTCTGGAATCTTGCACGGGACAGCGCTGGCAAGTGGTGGATTATGCTGGTGAGGTGCAGTGGCAAAATTGACAGCTTGGTGAGGGTGCAAGTTGGCGAGATGAGTGCCGAAAGAGACGGCGGTCGCCACGACCCCGAGGGTGACCAGGACTGACAGAAGCACAGCCTTTCTCTGATCATGCGCAAGGTCCCCCACGCGCGCGGAATTTAATCGAGTGGGACGACAAATGCTCTGGGGGTGACTGCGCCTAACGCTGCCTGAAGCGGAATCATGGTGATCGCGCTCGTCAGCGGATACGGGAAGCCTGCCACTGGTGTCTGGCTTTGTAAAGCTGGCAAGTTCAGTTGCAAACGTTGGTCACCAAGAGACAGAAGACGCTCAGCAGTGTGAAAATAGTATGCTTTGAAACCCTGCTCGTGTTATGAGCAGACCCACCATGGGTCCTGCGAGTGGTGTTGAAGTGGGATGAGCGGCCAGGCTCGCCGGTGGGCCCGGCGCTTTGCTCATGCTGCGCAGATTGCGTGTGGGGGCGTGGTCGCAGAACGTGGGATCGCGCGGATCGCACTCCAGCGTGAAGACGAGCGGGCTGTGCATGCGATCATCTTTCCCGCGCCAAGCACCACGGGTGACGCAACCGCATCGCGAAGGGCGCTGAATGCGATCATGGTGGTCTGCACCCAAACTCTCTGGTGAGCCCGCCGCCCGGTGCGGCGCGTCGTGGGGCCCCGGGTGGGAACCGGGCAGCTCTTCAGCCTGCTCCTCGTTCGCCCAACGTCGCGCACCGCGCCCCGCGTTGCGCGGCGCGCGGCCATCTTCGCGCCCTCGCGCCGCCGCCCTGGAGAACGGCGCCTCTCCGACTCGGGCCGCGACGCGCGAAGCGCGATTTCTCTTCGCGCCCCTGGGGGCGACCCGGTGCTCTGGTGCGGCTGGGAGCCTGCTGAGCCAGTGGAGCTGTCGCTGGCGGAGGGCCTGGTGATGTATCCGATTGGACCTCGCGGTGAGTTTGATCCACGCTGGCTCGGCGCGAGCCTCGAGACCGCGAACGGTGGCCAGCATGGTGTCGTCGTCATTCGCACTCGCGTTGGTATCCTCATCCGCCTCCCGACCTGTTCCTCTCCCAGAGACGGGACCTCCGAGCCAGAGGGAAGCGCGCCATGGCCTGTGCGAGGGCGGTGGCGTTGGCCGTGGGGGGCCGCCTGGGGAGGAGGAGGAGGAGGAGGAGGAGGAGGAGGAGAAGGAGGAGGAGGGAGGAGGAGGAGGAGGGGAAGGAGGAGCAGGAGGAGGAGGAGGAGGGCCAATCGGGCTGGTGTGGGCTCCAGGTGCAGCTCCCTGGATCACACGCAGGCTGGAGGAGCGACAGAGGTTGGTCGGGATGACCGTGTGGTAGAGGGACCCTGGTGGGCCACGACACGTGCAAGGAGGAGCGCCTCGCATGGGCCGAGTCGATTTTGGATGGGCTCTGGTTCTGTACGGCTGCATGCAGGGTTTTTGCAAGGAGGGCAAGTCGGTCAGCACTTCTTCGCGGTGACGCTTCAAGGGTTGAGCCGCGGAGCTACACTTTGCGCGAGTGCTCCAGATCGCGAGCTGGGCTGCCATGGTTCGGGTGTGGTCGTGCGATGGCCGCCCTCGGGCCCGTTTTGGCGGCGCGCGCAAGGAGGTAGGGGGAGAGGGGAAGGCTTCTTAGAAGGAGGATGCTTCTCAGAAGGCCCCGGCCCTACATCTGTAGATAGGGCCCGCGCCTTCTGAGAAGCATCGCCGATGCATCGCCGACGTATCGGCGATGCATCGGCGATGCATCAGCGACGTCGGTGTGGAGGGGGGGGGGAACACGGGCTCCGCATCGGCGATGCGGCGCGATCCTCCTGCCCCGTCGACTCGGACCCCGCCTGGGAGGCCCAGAGCGTGGCCGACCGTTGGGAGGGGGGCCCTGCGCGCGATCCCGGCGCTCACGCCCAGGGGGTCGCGCTGTGGAGGGGCCGCGGCGGGACGGGCGCGCCGGGCCCCACGGGAGGCCTGGGCCTCCCCCGCGGAAGGGGAGGCACCCGCCGTGCACGCCCGGCGGGCTGGTTCTGGTTCTGGTTCTGGTTCTGCGGGGCCTATTCAAGGCTGGAGGGCACCAATGAGGCGCCGAAGCCCGAGGCCTCCTCTGGGCCAAACCCAGAGGGCCTACAAGGGCCGTCCCCGTACAGAGCAAGGAGCTCCAGGAGGCACAACACCGAACCCCGAGGCACAGAGGCGGAGCACCTTGGCCCCAAGGGAAGGCCGGAGTCGTCCGCGCAGTCGGTCTGCCTGGCCTGGCTCTGGCAGGGCTCGGAGTCGTCCACCGTGGCGGGCGGAGGCGGCGGAGGGCAGGGGAGCGAGAAATGGCGGAAGCATACAACCTCGGAGGTCCGCGCGGACTTCGTGGATCCGCGCTGGAACCCCCTCCCTGGCGCGCGGAGCGCGTCAGGGGCGGCGCGGGAGGCGCCGCCAGGGGGCCCCCGCGCCGATCCGAGAAATCCGCGCGGACCTCCGAGTTCTCATGTTTTCATGTCATTCTTCGTCACCCTAGAGGTGGAGGAAGCCTGCCTGTGGGGGCCGGGGAGGGGGCCCCATCCAGGCGTGCCGGGGCAGAGGTCGGGGGGCCGGATTCCAGGTCTGGGCGTGCAGCCGCACCTCGGACCAAACGCCCAGAGAGAGGCAGGGAGAGAGAGAGAGAGAGAGAAAGACAGCGACAGAGACAGGGACAGAGAGATGGAGAGACAGAGAGAGAGGAGGCGACAGAGGGAGAGGCACACAGCGATAGCGGGAGAGCGAGAGAGAGAGAGCGAGAGAGAGAGCGAGAGCGCGAGAGAGAGAGAGAGAGAGAGCGCTGGGCGGGCACAACAAGGCAGTAACAAACGAAAGGGGCCGCCCGTGGCGCGCCGCGCATCGGGCCGGCGCTCCCTACCGGGCCGTCTGCGAGCCCCGGGCCTCCCGGATGGGCGGCAGCGTGCCGGCCGCCCGCATCGCGGCGGACAGGTCCACCTGGAGGGCCTCCTCCTCCTCGTCCCTCCTCCTCCTCCTCCTCGTCCCTCCTCGTCCCTCCTCCTCGTCCCTCCTCCTCCTCCTCGTCCTATACCAGTTACAGCAAAACCTTGGACGCAAGGAATCGGGGAGCTGCAACGCAACGTTCTCAGCTACAGCACAGCCTTGGACGCAAGGAGCCGAGTCTTCAGCTACAATGCTGGGATGCAGGCGTGCGAGCAGTTCTGAGGCACCCCGCCCGCCCAGGAGAGGCCTGGGGGAAGGGGGCGGCCTCCCAGCGTTCCGTCGCCGCGCCGACGGCCGGTTCGACGAGACGTCCGCGAGCGAATCCTCAGCGAATCCTCCTCCTCCTCCTCCTCCTCCTCCTCCTCCTCCTCCTCCTCCTCCTCCTCCTCCTCATCCTCCTCCTCCTCCTCCTCCTCCTCATCATCATCATCATCATCATCATCATCATCATCATCATCATCATCATCATCATCATCATCATCATCATCATCATCATCATCATCATCATCATCATCATCATCATCATCATCATCATCATCATCATCATCATCATCATCATCATCATCATCGTAAGGAGCGGCATGGACAAGGAGCGGGAGCACGGGGCGGCTGGCAAGGCCACCTTCCCGATCCTCGGCTGGGGACCGCCAGATCTGCGCGGCAAGAAGTGCTCCCCCCCTTTTGTAAGACGAGGCCAAGGCGGGGATGAATCCGGGCGAGGACCCATCGAGGGAATCTCTAAGATCGCCGCGGCTCTTGAGGATGCCCCGTGCGCCGAGGCCTTCTTCGACAGCGCTCCGGGACGTGCTGAGAGCGTTCTGGAACGCTCTTGAACGGAGGTATCCTCGTCCCAGCCCCGTCCGACTGCCGCCCCATCATGCGGTGGGAGGGGGGTTAGCAAGCAACTCCTGGGAAATAAGCCCGACGGAAACGCCATTAAGCCAGACTCGGCCGGAGTAGGACCAGAATCAAGTCGGATGAAGCAGGGGCTGCGCTGGATCAGGCAGGTTTTCGACCACGGAAACACCAGCGCCGACGCTGGATTCACTCCCCCAGGAGAGATGCATCGTAAGGAGGGGCATGGGCAGGAGGGGGAGCAGGGGACGACGGCGGGGGCGACCACGACGACGACCACGACGACAAAGGAGCAACGGGGGATCCTGGTCATCACCACTGGTTCATGGTCACCATCCCCCCCTGGTCATCATCCTTCTCTAGGCCGTCCCCGAGTAGAGTGGAGCCTTCCTCCTCCTCCTCCTCCTCCTCCCTCCTTCCTTCCTTCCTTCCTTCCTTCCTTCCTCCTCCTCCTCCTCCCCCCTCCTCCTCGTCCCTCCTCATCCTCGTCCCTCCTCCTCCTCCTCCTCCTCCTCCTCCTCCTCCTCCTCCTCCTCCTCCTCCTCCTCCTCCTCCTCCTGCTCCTCGTAAGGAGCGGCACGGGCAAGGAGCGGGAGCACGGGGCGGCTGGCAGGGCCACCTTCCCGATCCTCGGCTGGGGGGCGGCCGAGCCGCTCGGAGCCGGCGAACTGCGGGAGGCCCCCCCCCCGACGTGAATGCGCGGGTGGTCCTTCTCCCGTCCGCGCCGCCGCGGCCCCGCGCCGCCAGGAGGGGGACGGAGGGGGGACGGAAGGGGGACGGAAGGGGGAGAGGGTGCGGAGGAGTGGGGCCAGAAGCGCGAAAGGAAGCCTGCCTTCCCCCCTCCCCCCCTTCCCTTCCGAAGGGGAGGGGGGGGGAGGGGCGGAGGGGGAAAGGGTGTATATATATATATATATATATATATATATATATCTACTGTCGCCAGGGACTGTGATGGTCCTTCTTTTCACTCGGCTGCGAGAGGGCGCCATTGAGATATGACTGTTCTAGTCGCAGTCAGGCACACTTTAAGAGCTTGAACCTGGCAGGACGGAATGTATGTGGCGAGTGAGGCTACATCGAAGCTTCGGTGGGCAAATTGCAGCCAAGCATCCATACGGTCATGGGAGCAATTATGACGCATTGAAGCTGCGCGCACGGGTGTCAGCAGGGAAGACCTGTGACAAGAATCGGAATGCTTCACGCGAGGTAAAGCATATTCGGCCACTGGCAGAATCGAGTGACGAGTGGCAACGCGGCCCAGCAGTGAGCACGGTAGCTCCTCGAAGCATCATCTTTAAGAATGGCCTTGCAGAGAGACGGCGCCGCTGAAAACTACATGTGGGACCGCTCCTTCATCTCATCGACCTCAAGAAGTCTTCCTGGGGCACAAGATTCGCAAGATTGCGCTTCTAGCCGCCTTGCATGGACGAGCCAACGATTATACATCTATAGTGTGTAAAAAGGTGAAAATGTTGTGCTCTGGCAGCTAGCAAGACTGAGCTGTGAAGCATGCTGGTCGGCCTTTCGTCCGAAACGGGAGCTTCGACACTGGATAGATCGAGACGGTCTGCGAAGGCTGCCCAACAAAAAGCATACCCTCGCTGTAAACAATTACACGCAACTCGGCATTGCGCTGATGTTAACTCAAGGGGGGCAAGCACTTGATTTCATCGAGCGGGCTGGAACCGTTGCTCTATGTGCGACGTTTGCGAAGTCCGAGGGTGGCAATGAGTCTGAGGCCTGTCTGCACCGCTCGCCATTAGCCTGTCTGGATCATCGCAAGTCGCAAGCTCACTGTTGGTAACGTGTTGGGCCATAGCCCTCTGGGGCGTCTGAACGTGATGCTGCGCACGTGCCAGCACATTGCTTCGCGTTGCCAGCAAGAATCTGGCACGTCGGGACGAAGACAAACCCACGACCTTGTCCATGAGGAGTTCCGCGCGCTCTCCGTCCTCACGCAGACCGAGGGGGCTCCGATCGGCTTGCCTTCCGCTTCCCGTCGACACGGCCGAGGGCACTCCCTCGATCCTCATGGGTTTTCCCCTCCTCGTCCTCCAAACCAGGGCTCTTATCCAGCTTGCGTGTACCAGCAGAACAAACTAAGAGAGCTTGATGGTGGGCTCTCATGCACGTACCCACTTAAGAACCAGGCCCAGGCGCTCTCGGGCCAGGCCCTGCTGCCTCTGTGAAAACTTAGCAATCGCCCTCAGCCTCGGTCAAGTTTGCCCATCTTGGTGAAACTCGGAAGACTGGCGGCATCCGCTGCTAATCCACCAAAGGGTGCAGCGGCGGTCAACTCAGCGCACACGATCAACCCAACGTATACAATCTGCTTCACCGTTTAGCTGCTTGTATCCGCCACCGTGCCTGTGGGCACGGAGTGGGCGTTTCCTCAAGTCCTTTCCCTAACCCTCTACGCCTCAATCCTCACTCCTGAGGAGTCTCTGAGGGGCCCAGAGCCCCAATTGCCAAATCTCCGAGGCTTGGCGCGGCTTGGCGCGGCTTGGCGCTTGACTTTTTCGGAGCCAAGAGGGCCCCAAGACGGGCCAAGAGGGCTTCAAGAGGCCCCTAAGATGTCTCCTAGACGGTCCAAGAGGCCTCCAACAGGGCCTTCAGGAGTATAAACCCTGTGGGGCCGACTTAAACCCCCATCCGGCCTGCGAGCCGCAGCCCCTGACCCAGGCCGAAGGGGAACGAACAAAAACCTTGGCCGGCCGCGCCTGGCCGCCTTCGCGGGCGGGCGCGCGCAAGGCGAAGGCCTCCAGGAAAACCCGAAGAGGCCAAAATCATTGATGTTCCATATGTTGTCTTCCGACGGCCCGAGACGGCCCAAGGGCCCCCAAAAATCGCCCTAAGATCGCCCACAAGGCCTCCAAGATGGCCCAAAGACAGCCGAAGAGGCCCCCAAGCCGGCCCCAAGAGGGCCCCAAGACGGCCCAAGAGGCCTCCAAGACGCCCAAGATGGCCTCCAAGATGGCCCTGGAGCACAACTTTCGGCCACATAGGCGCTTCCAAAAAGGCAGGGGGCGGCGGTGATTCGCCTCAGGCGGCTTCGAAGAACGAAATCAGTCGGTCCTCCAAGACAGGGGGTGCGTTCGTACCTGTGGTATCCACCAAATCCGTCGCAACATACAAAAAACATCCATCTCGCCCTTCCACCCTGGCATGCATGATCGATCTGTCCTCCTGCGACCGTCTGTAGAACTTCTCCGTGCAGGTCGCGTGCAAGACAAGGAACCGAGCGCTCGCTGATCAGCTGGATTGACCTTATCCCATGTGAAGCTTAACCTCGAGACCTGTTCATACCAGGACGCCTCCAACCTGCGCCAGGAAGCGTAACTCTCGTCCACGCATTCGCGCTCACCACGCGTCGAGCACACGGCGGCGCCGCTGAGGCGCGGGCAGGAACCTGATACAATCTTGTTCGTACGGGGCCCGTTGGAACCTGAATGCCGTGGTGCCCTTGGGTGGCGATCTTCCTCCCGCCTTGCGCGGCCTCTCTCCTGTACCTGGCTGTGTCCTGGCGCGCCCCTCCGCTGCTCGACGGCCGTGGCATCCTCCTGCGGCCGCCGACCGAAGAGCGTAAGGAGCTCTGGCAGCCGAGGGGTCAGCTGAGGACCCCAGACGGCCACGAGAGCAGTGGTGATGCAACGACGGCGTGTGCACCAGCGCAGGTCGACGTGGCACGTGGTAAGAGCCACACGACGGCAGGTACGTGGAGGGGGAGGGGGAGGAGGGGGGAGGAGGAGGAGACCCAGGGGCTCCAAGCCTCCACTCTGGAAGTGGCCTTGGCCCCGTTCCAAGACGCCCCGCCCCACATCTTGCAGCCGTGAGGGAGCTGTGGTAGGCCATTTGGGGAGGACCACGCTGGCGTATCCAACCCTGAGATCCGACACTGCGCAACTCTTGCAACAGCGCTTGAAACCGCAGCCCCAGACCCCCTCTTTCTCAAGGGCGCCTACCTTCTCGCTCCCGCGCCGCACCCCAGCGGAGAGGAGGAGGAGGAGGAGGAGGAGGAGGAGGAGGAGGAGGAGGAGGAGGAGGAAGGAGGAGGAGGAGGAGGAAGAGGAGGAGGAATCTGGGGGAAACCAAGCACCAATACCGCTACCCCCCGGACCTCTCCTGGGGTGCGTTCTGCCCAGGATTTCGAGGCGAATCCAGCGGTGGCGACGGGGGCCTCCCAGGAGGCCCAAAAAGGGGAAAGCTGGCGAGGGGGTTGAGGTATGGGCACCTTGTCCTCCTCCGAGAATCGGAACCCAACCGCGGAACGCGAAGGGCGAATCACCTCGCGCCCTCAAGGGGAGCCCCTGATTCTGCAGCGCTACTTTCGGGCCCGATCGACCCGTGACGGTCCCGGGGCCCGAGACCGGGCGAAAGCGCACGGTGTCGGTGGGCGCCAAGTGTTAGGTCGGGCATGTCCTCCTGCAGGCGGACTTTGGAGGAACAACAATTCAACAAAAAGTAGCACAAAGACACAAAAAACATCAAGAGTAGTAGCAGAATCGTTCCCTGAAGTTTTTTGCTATGTTTGAATGTTCTTCCTGTAGAGAGAGGGACATGCCCGACTTCAGCCACGTGCACACGCACAAACACGGAACCTGGCCAGGCTGATTTGGGGCCTGTAGGATCAGCGTGCCTGCCCTCCTGGCTCGGGCAGGCAGGCATACACACCGATCCTGGGTCCAAGACCGGCCTGGTCAGCATCGGCGTAGGCGCACACGGCCAGCCCGCATGGTAACAGCGCAGGAGAAGCGTGCGAGGGCCTCGGAGGGCCAGGCTGGCGCCCTGCGACGGCGTGAGAGACTGCGCAGCGCCCGGATCTCGGGGGGGCGACGGGGGGGGGGTCTCTTCGGCGGCCTCTGCGCGGTGGTCCGCATCGATGCCGAGGGCGAGGGGCTGCCCCCCGCGGCGCCCAGGGTGGAGAGCAGCACGCTGGAGCCGGCGCTGCTCATGCGGAACGCGGAGCCCTCCTGGGGACGCACGGGGACATGCGAGTGCTGCGTGTCCTCCCTGGAGGCGTGCGTCTGACCCGAGCATCCAGTACAACCATCTTGCAGGTTATGTCGTTCCCCGAGCGGTATGGCCAGAAAGCGCCCGCCACGGAGCTTGTACTGCAAGATTTCTCGGCGCGCGCGTCGCCCCTGAGGGGGGGCGACGAACACCTGGTATTTGTATGCTGGGGTGACGCCGATCTCCTCTTGTCTTTCTCGACGCAGGCACTCCTACCGCAGGAGCTCACCAAAATGAGTCGCCCGCCAGAGATCGATGGGCCCTACGATTTCGTGGCCAGGTGCTGCTGTCACGGAGGTGCCCAGGAAGCTCGACAGGCTAAGAGGGAGGAGCGAGGCGGAGGACTCTCCTCCCCCTCGTTCCTCGCTCTTGGCCCGTCCCGCGTACAGTCGGACTCGATCGGACAGGACACGCGAGAGGACACAAGACCCTTCCGAGGGCCACATTGCCGCAGGAATGTGGGAAGCATGGGTCGCGAGACACAGGACACAAGGGTACCCTTGATTTGATTTGGCAGGGTCGACCTACTAATCTGGGCCGACTGTACGCGCGAGCGCGGCACCATGTGGAAACCAATGGGAAATTGGCCAACTTCATTCCGACAGCGACCCAACAACCAATGACAAGCCATGACAGCCAGCACCCAACAAAGCACCAGACACTGCAGCTGCGGCCCGACGGGGCACGGAAAGCCGCGGCCAGTCCCCAGATGTCCCCAGCAGGGCACGGAGCACGCAAGCCGCCTTCGAATCCTGTGCCCCCGGGGCCCTTCAGCGCGGACCAAGAGAACGCCGATCCTGCTGGTGAGAGCCGGGTGCACGGAGGTGAGACGACCGGGACGGGGCGCACGCGGCGCTGCGCGGCAGAGGAGCCCTCCCGCCAGGGTGGGGCTGCGCAGATCCCCCAGCGCGCAGGGCGCGCGGCCAAGCCCAGCACGGGCTCCGAGGAGTTCGCCCACGCCGACCAGCCACAACTGGGGGAGCTGTGGTCCTTACCCCCCTGGGGGAACCCATCGCCTCGACGATCTCTCGAGAGGGGTGTCGAACTCGATGGGTCCCCCAGGGGGGCGAGGACCACAGCTACCCCAGTTGTGGCTGGCCTGCCACGGCGGCCGAGGCGGGGCCCCGAGCAGGTGGGGCCCCACGACGGGATCCCGAGGCAGCCCCACGACGGCCCCCCTGGGAGCTCCTCGAGCGAAGCAGCAAGCGCGCACCACGGGCGCCCGGGCAACACACGCCCGCGGGTGGCCTCCGAAACCGGGGGACCCCGCCCTCCCCCGCCCACAGCCACGCCGCCCCGAACCCCCCCCCCACAACCCCACCGCCTAACCTTCCCCCCCCCTGCCAGGCAGGGGGAAAGGGGGGGGGGTACGAAGCCGTGAAACCCTCGCCCACCGTGAAGGAGGGGGGAAGGGTCTGCGACCCCCGACCCTCGCGCGTCGTCGTCATCGCTTGCCGGCGCGAGGGATGGGAGGGGGGGAGCGACAACCCTCCCCGGGGTGGAAGGGAGCAGCGGGACGGGGGTTTCGTAACTCCCCCCCATCCGCCCCTTCCGGGCGGAGGGGGTCCTCATCCGCCCCCCTCCCCCCCTGCGAGCGGCCGTACAACGCGCTCCCTCCAAGGAGTATAGACGAGAGGTGTCGGATCCTCTACCTCCTCCTCCTCCTGCTCCTCCTCCTCCTCCTCCTCCTCCTCCTCCTCCTCCTCCTGCTCCTCCTCCTCTTCCTTCTCCTCCCCCTTCTTCTCCTCCTCCTCCTCTCTCCTCCTCCTCCTCCTCCTCCTCCTCCTCCTCCTCTTCCTCCTCCTCCTTTTCCTCCTCCTCCTCCTCCACCACTCCATTTCCTTATACATAACTCCTCCCTGTCGCACTCCGAGGCCGGTCGAAAGGGCGGGCCGAGCGTTTCGCCTGAGACTTCCTCACCTCTTATGATCCTGAAGCTTAGAAAGTGGCAACAGCTTCACAAATTGAGGACGGGCCGCTGCCAAACTGTGGCTCTCGCCTTAGCGCCGCGCACATCCGTTTAAGCACTACAGGAGTGTGGCGGATTGAAGGGCTGATCCTTTTCAAAATGTGGCTCTCGCCTTAGCGCCGAGCGCATTTGTTTTAGAAATTTGCAAGAGCTTCACGGATTGAGGGCGTGTGGTTTTCAAAATGTGGCTCTCGCAGTAACACCGTTCGAATTAAACATGTGCAAGAGCTTATCGGATTGAGGGCGGGTAGTTTTCAAAATGCGGCAGTGGCGTTTTCGCTGAAGCGTTGCGCAATGATGTTCTGATTGTTCCGCTCCGGCCTGAGCGCGGCCCATATTCCCCCGCCCCCCCCGCCAGGTCGTCGGATGCGGGGCCGTGCGCGCGTGCACGCAAGCCCGTTCCGTCCGCTGGGTGAGAGCGCGAGCCAGGCCTGGCGCCCAATTGTGCCAACGCTGACGCCATGCCACTTGAAGGCGGGTGGTAACAGGGCGGGGCCTACTGACTCGTTCGGAATCTGTTATCTCACACCTGCAGCGACTCCTCTATTCTTACTAATGCGCGTCCGTCCTCCGACCTCCAAATTTCACTACTAAGAGGTTTGCAGCCATCCTGGAAGAGCCATTTCAGAGCCCCCGTGGTATATCGTCGACGCTCTTTCTCGTTTGGTTTCCTCGCACATCATTCACCGACTCACTCTCTTCCTACTTTTATCATCATTCCTTCTCTTCCATTCTCTCTCGTCCTCCCCGTCCCCATCGTCCTAGGTATACTCGCCCTCGTCCTCTTCCCTCTCCTCCTCGCCCTCCTCGTCCGTCTCGCCCTCGACTTTCTATTTCGATTTCCATCCCCATTTCTATTTCCCTGAGGAGGTCAGTAACTCACCTCAGCCAGCTCAAGGCTGAGAAACTGCCGGTTGGAGGTCCCATAGCATGCTGTGGGTGAGCCAGGACAGCGAAGAACGCACCACAGCCCCACAACTTCAAAAAAAAAAAACGCGAACATGCGCACCGTAAAACCTGGAAGCACGCGCCCTGGTGCGCTGCGCACTCTGACATTTCCGAAGCAGCGGGCGCAATGCCTTCAGATAGCGACAAGCCTTTGGCGTGCCGCCCCTATGAGCTCCCGTGGGGCACCACTCCCACGCGAGACCAACCCTCCCCCACACATGCCCGGGCGCGGGACCGGGGCCGTAGGCAAAGTGGCGACGAGGAGCAGGAGTCTCTCCCTCGCCCCCCCTGCAAAACATACGAATTGCCCACGACCCTCGAACAGGCACAGACAAGGAGACCCAGCGGCACAGGTGCTTTGTCCTCCTCGTCCTCCTCGTCCTCTTCGTCCTCCTCGTCCTCTTCCTCCTCCTCATCCTCCTCCTCCTCCTCCTCTTCATCCTCCTCCTCCTCCTCCTCCTCGTCCTCCTCCTCCTCCTCCTCGTCCTCTACTCCTCCTCCTCCTCCTCCTCTTCCTCCTCCTCCTTCTCCTCCTCCTCCCTCGTCGTCGTGTATCATCATTGCCACCCTTCCTCCACTCTCCACCTCCTCATTGATCAACCTCCTCACTCTTTTTCCTCTACCTCCTCCTCCTCCTCCTCCGCCGCCGCAGCCTCAGCCTCAGCCTCCTTCGCCTCCTCCGCCTCCACTATCCAAACGCGGACTACGGGACCACCTGCTGAGTATCCCTCGGGTGAAACGCGCAGCTGGTCAGGATTGCCTGTGATGGCTCGCTCACCATGACTCCACAGCCCCAGGGTATGCGACGCTGGTTCCACAGGCCCAGGCCGATACGTCTGCTACAAGGACACGTCCACGCGAACGCCTCGTCACCCGCATCGTCCTTCTCCTTCTCCACCTCCTCCTCCACCTCCTCCTCCTTCTCCTCCCGACTCATCCTCCTCCTCCTCCTTCTCCTCCTCCTCTCTCCACTTTATCCTCCTCCTCCTCCTCTTCCTCCTCCTCCTCCTCCTCCACCCCCTCCTCCTCGTCCTCCTCCTCGTCCTCCTCCTCGTCCTCCTCCGCCGATTGTCAAGAGCGCCCACGCCTCGTCTACAGGCTCGCACTAGCTTCGTGCCCGGGGCCAGCGTCGTCACGGAACACTGGGAAAGCGGCCGGCGCGTCCGCCAGGTCAAAACGGTCGAGGAGCCCCCGAGGGTGACACGAGCATCGCTCACGCCTCTTCGAGATTCGGCTAGCCCTGGCAACGTGGAGCCAGGGTCTGCGTTGCCACGCTGTCGCCAGGACGCGGCACCTCTCCTGAAGTACAAGTTGGCCAGCACCGAGCCCTTCGACGCCGCACCCCAGCCGACAAGAGGCCAGAGGTGGCACAAGCGGCAGCAACAGCCGCAAGGCCCAAGCGAGTCGGCCGAGCTCAACGGCACCGACAGGACAGCCGCGCAGCAGGCTTCCTCGGACCCAGCATGATGATGGCTGTGGAGCCGCCGTGGGCGCGGACCAGAAGCCCGAGCTCGGCAGCGCACACAAGGCAGCCGCGCAACAGGCTGCCGAGGACGGCGAGGGAGGACAGCTCGGTCTCTCCTGCTCGACCAGGCATCTGAAAGGAGGCACGGCGGCACCAGCAGCAGCCGTGCGAGGTATTGCACGAGAAGAAGCTGCTGAGAGCAGCCAGCCAACGGTGACCGCAGTGCTCGCCGGTGCTCAGTACGGCACCGCTAGCGGTCGCTAGGCCATACCTGCGCTGCGGGCCAACGCCGAATGTGCAGCTTGGCCAGAAGAACCTGCACTGCACGGGGTCTTCAAACTTGAATGCCCGCCCCCGCACTTCCACCGCACCAGGACGGCACACCCGACCAGCACAGTACAATGCGGCATGAGCCTCCGAGCTGAGCGCGAAGATCGCCAGAGGAGAGGGGGGAGAGGAGGGAAAGGCATGGGAGTGGGGAGAGGGAGGGGCAGGGAGGGGACAAAGGGAGACACAGAGGGCACAGGGAGACAAGAACAAAGAGCTCGACAACGACAAAAAGGTCGCCGTCGTCGTCGCCGTCGTCGTCGCCTTCGTCGTCGCCTTCGTCGTCGTCGTGGTCATCGTCGTCGTCGTCGTCGGCGTCGTCGTCTTAGTCGTAGCGACTTTTCTACAGTCGACTTGCGGGGAGCAGGCCAGGCAAATCGGGGCAAATCCAGATCACTCGAGGCAAGTCCGGACACATCGAGATACATCCAGAGATACTCACGAAACACAAATCTGGAGCAAATTGTGGCCGCTCCAGCTCGAGTCGAGGCATAGCAGAAGTCGTCGTCGTCGTTCGCGGGCGGGGGGGCGGGTGAACACCCCGTCCTCGCGGGGGTGCACCGTGTAGTAGGCGTCCGTCGGGCGCATGCGCACCTCTCGGGGAGTCCCCGGCTGAGACGGAAGGGAGGGCGCTGCGGCTCCTCCCGCCGTTCTTGGGCAAGCTGCGGGAGCGAGCGCGCGAAGCGCCAGTTCTCCTCCTACTCCTCCTCCTCCTCCTCCTCCTCCTCCTCCTCCTCCTCCTCCTCCTCCTAATCATCATCATCATCATCATCATCATCATCAACACCAACATACAACACACATCATCATCACATCATCATCATCAATCATCATCATCATCCATCATCATCATCATCATCATCATCATCATCAGCAT